AAGTGGTGTTCCTGATCGCTTAATAAAGTACATATTTAGAAGACGATCTATAACTAGTGAGCACGGGTTGTTCTTATATACGACTTATACGTCCGTTTAAAAGTGACCCCTTCACTAAGCAGAGTACTGATTAGTTTTGGTTTCGAAACAGACACCGTGATTTGGGCGGCGCTTTGTGGAATAGGCCAGCCGGTAGCCTATTTTTGGAAGAAGTACATTTGATGGAGGTAATTGCGAAGATATCGGAGTGTAACCGAAATTTCGGTTGCACATCAAAAACGTTTTAGGGGCTCTAACTTCACCATAAGTATTTTCGTTGGGCTTTACAGATGCCCGCCATAGGGATGACACTTGAAGCCCCAGAAACTATTTTTCTTGCTTTCATTAACGACAGTAGGATCTGTAAATTATAGTTTTGCAATGGTTACTGAGGTCACCATAATACCCCTGAGACGCGTGCTGCACAGCCTCGTGCGTACATGCACCATCATGTCTGTACACTGGTAATGCCTCCTACACGATAGCGTATTCCAAGGGCTCTGAAAATATGCACTTACATTCTCATGCATTGTTTTAAAGACAAAGCCTGGCTCCTTCTTTTTTTCTTTTTCATGTTCAATTGTATGTTTATCCAAACAAGGTTATGTAACCAGCAAAAAATGCACCTATACAAACGACTCTCCCATGAGCCACGTCCGAGTGATGCGTTGCATCGCGGGACTTTGGAGATCCGTCGTAGTGATATTCAGCCCTTGTTAGAGTAAGCGCTCGGCAGGCGTAAAAACACTTTATTTTTTTCGCCCTGTCACCGCGATGCTATTCCCCGTGATTATCAAAAGGGGCAGTTTGAAACAGCTACGTCTAATGACTGGTCTATATATAGGATTGTCTACGAGCCAAGCATAGACTGCTGCCAGAGTCGAGCTTGAGGAGCGGTTGTAACGGAACACGTGATCAGTGTAGCCCGCGGCGGCTGACCAATTAAGAAGTGTCTGGCGACGCTCCATGGCCCGCGGCTCAGGGGAGAAAAAACAATTAAAAGATAAGCAATTAACGGCGACGTCTCGGTATTTCGGAAGAGAACTTGCAAAGAGTCTAATTGCTTTCCGTTAGTCGGTTTCGGAGCCGTTTCCTTTCACGGAGAGTGAGACCCGCTTCCATGTTTGGCCTCTGCGGACGTTCTCTGACGATTGAGTGCAAATAACCGTTGGCACACCAGACGGCATGGTTGCTGCTTGTATTATTCTGCTATGAAGAAAGAGATAGAGAGAAAGTGATGGTGAATAAGCGCGTGAATTATTTTTAGCACCTTCCCACGCTGTTTCCTCCTCTCGTAGCGAAAGCGCAAGCACTCACGCAACAACGCGATGCAAGAGAACGCGCGCACGTCGTCGATCAGGAGTAATTGCCGGTGGAAATGGCATGGGAAGTCACGAAACGTGGAATCTCGCCTATTACCAAGCTAGTGTCCGCGAGCGCCACGGTCAGTTGGCGACGACGCGCGACGAAACGCGCCGCTTTGGTCGGCCTTCTATGATCGGCCAAACGCTGTCAACGTTGACAGTGTCAATTGAATAGGGAGTTTTCGTACATCGTCTTCCCTACTCCGCTACGCTCTCCGCAACGAAGACGCCGCTGGTGCTGCATGCACACTGCTGGCCTTGACTGCAGACTTCCGGATCTCGTAGCGGCTTGCCGAGAGCGTTGCGGGACGAAAAAAAACGATCTACGGAGAAGACTCGCTAGTATCGCGATGGCTCCAAACTCACACCCTGCTTTTTACGCGCACCATCAAACTTACCGTTCAGAAGTAACAATGATGGTCATAACGTCGCGAAAAATAAAACGAAACAAAGAAGGTAAGAGGGCGCCACTGAAACATTTTCAATAGTGCGGCCACCGGCGTTTCTTCCCATGGGCCGTGTGGCGGGGAGTATGCTCGTACGGCAGGTGTAGACCAAGCATCGATACTACTGAAAAAGAACACAGGGAAATGTATACACGAGTACCGAGCTTCACTCCCCAAGCAATATAACGCAATACAATTACACCAAGGAGAGCGACGGATTATCGAGACAAAAGGTGCGATATGGCTAGAGCATAGCAGTCTCCCGTTTAGCACCCTTAGGAAGGAAGACTCTGCGTTAGAGTTCGGCTGGAACTCCTACCATTAGGGATTGAACCCAAGTCGTAACGCTGACCCAGGACTCGTGTCCTCACTCAACATGAGTCCCAGTTGAACAGTGACGCAACACTGGTGTCAAATCTGTTCCTCACTCTGGCCTTCGGTAGATGACCTAAAACCTTCCTATGGTCATTGAAACAGCAGCATTTGACTACCTTACATTGGCTCTGCTCCAGCTCCTACTCTAGACGATCCGAGTTACTCCCTCAGGTCATATCAGATGATGTCACAGATAGAGCGGCGCTCGACGCGAATAGAATTTTAAGCGCCATGTTACAAGACCCTTGCTCCGGAGCGAGATGGAGTAACGCGGCACAAGCACCGCAACCTCTAGTCGCCAGCACTTCCCTGCTCTTTCTGCCGCGTGCAGTCTTGTGCTCCACTCATTGCAAGTAATGAAATGACCTACAACATCTTAGATTAATTTAGTAGTGATTCGAATACATGTATTATAAAGCTATCACAAGAATTATCTTATTACTTTTTGAGGTACTAAATTACTTGTGCCCGTTACTATGTCTCCCTCCCCTACTTGATAACGCCCTTTGTATGCGTTTCCTACCGAGGAAACCTCGAAGAAAGTTTCCGACAGGAAGGTGGTTCACTAAATTTGGTGGATCAAGAAGAGAAATGAAGTGAATGCAGAAATGCAGCCCGGCCTGGTTAAGAATGGAAATGTTTAACCCTGGAGTGTTTGAAAGAAAGGAACAGGACAACATCATTTGTGTTGTCCTGTCCCTCTGTTTCCCCACTCTCCAAGGTTAAAAATGTCAGTCAAGAAGAAAAGTAGTTGATTTTTCTAAGATTCTAATCGAACAGTGCGCAAAAACCTTTTTTTTTTTTTTTTCAAACCGGCAGGGAAATTTGTCGTTCTGAAATTCTGACGTAATCAGAAAACTAACGGTTACTTTTTTAACTAACGGCCAGTTACTCTTCAAGTAGGTGAGCAATCTAACCAAATATTTTTAATCAAAACTAATTGTAATTCGAGTCGATTACTGTTTTTGCTGAGTAGCGTCTACAAGACTGGCGTCGTGCCAAGTTTTTCTTAAATTAGTTGGCAAGCTTTATGGAAAGCACCGACGTCCCTGTGACACGCGATAGTAATTCGACGTAAGTCTGCGTGAACTAGTCTAAGAAAGTAAAGTGTGTCTTTATCTATAAGGGGTTGTCGAGCGAGCGCTCTCACACAGATGGTAAGAGAGTGTGCAGGAGGCGAGTGGCGCAGAGAGCCAACCCCTGTTTTGGAGGAAGCGGTGGGTCGCGAAATAGCGGGGTCCAAGCTGGGGTGTGCGACCGCAAGAGACGCGAACTTCGCCTTCCTTTCCCGTTGTAACACTAGCTTTGGCGGGGTTTTCTTTCAGAGACGCTACACACAACAGTGTTCGCGCCGTCGAGGCATAAAATGAACAACAATTGCCTCTGTGCAACATTTCATTCGGGTAGCTTCCCTTGTTTCGCATATTCGCTTATTCGCCAGCAAAGGTAATCCCACAACGTAGACATAGCGGTTCGGGCTCGATTGGCTGTAGAGAATGCACCAGAATGTTTTCGTCACCACAGGGCACGCGGAGAGTGAAGACTGCCATCTTCGAAACGGCCGGACTCGAAATTTCGCCTCCCCCCTCCTCCGCCCGCTTTTCTCCTTCAATAGAAAGGAAGTGGTAAGACAGAATGCACTTGAGACGCCACACGTCGCGCAGATCTCATTTTCGGGTCAGGGTGTTAACAAAGCTTGGACTTGGGTTCGAGCTAGTTGGTTGCACATAGCTAACTGTGCTGCGCTGCGAGGTTATTCAGAACATACGCGTGAGAAGAAAGTGAAAGAAATAGAACATACGCGTGACCAGAAAGTGAAAGGAAAATCCTTTCCTTTCACTTTCTGGTCACGCGAATGTTCTGCAGAACGCACAGTTACCGCCGAATTCAGAAACCTCACTCAAACTACACTCAAACTGAAGGGCCCCTCCACTTCCTCGAGGAAGGCGCGAGGGCCGGCGCTGGCCACTCGCGAGGACGGATCCACCGTCGCGATTGGCCAGCGCCGGCCCTCGCGCCTTCCTCGAGGAAGTGGAGGGGCCCTTCAGTTTGAGTGTAGTTTGAGTGAGGTTTCTGAATTCGGCGGTTAGCTGTGTGTTCTACAGAAGACCCTGACTAGCCCAGTTAGCTAGTCAGGGTGTTCTTCGTGTTTCGTCACTCTCTGGGGACATCTCCTCCTAGACTGCGGCGCTTGGGCCTCAACTTACTGTGTGGGGAAGTTGAGTAAAAAAGATTGTTCCGGTGGCTGCAACTAGGGATTTGAGGACTTGCTGAGGTTGGAGTCACACCGAATTTGACTTCCTCGAACACTCAACGCGAAGGTCGGCAAAAGTTTCTCTTAACCTTGACAAATATAGTCATGCGCAAAAATTAAGAACAAGATGACGCCGCCTGGCGGAGGAGGGGTGCAGCATTTATATGCCGTATCGTTTCACATTAACAAATTACCTAACTAAATAATTTAAGGTTCGTACGTTTACGTTTATATCGCGTAGGCACCAGTAATTATTCCGTCAACCTTAAAGCAAACTACAGCCAAAATTATTTCCGAAATATGTGAACATTTTGTCTAGAAGCTGTTTAGCACTGTATAAGAAGGTAATCTTTGTTTAATCTTGACAAAGTTCGGAGGTCCGCGTCGAGCAGCTCGAGCCTCGGCAAAGGGTTACGGCATACCTCTATTCAGAGCTGAGAGAGGGTCCCATTGTATGTGTCCAAAGAGGTGTGTCTCAATGTCACCTCAACATATCACACCATGTCCCAACCGTTTCCGCAGCTGGAGAGTGGGCTACACGTACGTGCTGCACACCATCTGCTACGTCATGGACCTACAGTCTCCTCTGCTTCGTGAAGGAAACCCCTACGGGAGCTGCGAAGAGTCCTGGAAGTACAGTGAGTGGACCGCTTGGTCTTCTTGGGCTTACGTGCTATGCTCCGTTCACGGCTAAGCTGCTAGTGGGGTGGAAGCTACGTGCTCGTTAGGCCAGCCGTACGTCTAGGCTTTCGCCGCGTGATCACGCTCCCGCCCAGAACCACGTGTAAAGAGCGGATTCCGGTGATGAAAAAGAAGTGCGGTTGCTGCGAGCGCGTAGCTCCCACGGCACTGTCAGCTTAGGGGAGAAGTAGGATGCATTGCATAATCTTTAGCAGCAACCACAGCCGTGTATGAAGAGAGTTTGGCCATTCATTGGGAAGCATAGGGGGCAAATGAGGAGGCGCCATTGGCCGAAAGCGTGCTGGGCGTGTTCCAGGGCGTCTTCACAAATTCGAATGAGGCAACCAGAAGCCAGAAATAATACTCTGGCGGTGGTCGCGAGATACGAGATTAGTAAGTCCGTCGGAGTAACTCTCGGTGGTTCAAAATCTGGAGTATTTGATGCTTCAATCACGGGCATCCAAAATAATGGTGGAAGAGGGCGACTAGCGGAACGATCGACATAATCCGAGCGTACGCGCCGAAGGCTGGGAATTTGCCGTCCGAGCGATCACACTCTCTTTGAGCAAAACAGAGTTCGAGCGGCTCATTTGTTTCTTATACTTTTCTGCATATTCATAATTGAAACATCGCGTGCACCATACTTTCAGCCATAAAGAGTTACTACATTTAACCCTTCTGCTCTTATTAAAATTGTTTCTCGCTACCACCGCTAGGGGATTCTTTTCGGCTTCTGGTTGGCCAAAAGCGCATGCCAAACCCTCTATCTGCGTCTGGTGCACGTTCTGGCTCTGCCCGCTCCTCACATTGACCAAACTCTCTCTATACACGGCTCTGGCAGCAACCAGATAGAAGGCGTACCTTTTGCACGTAATAAGATTGAAGACTTTTGGATGGAATATTTCACAGGACATTTCAATGTGTTCAAAACGAACTCTTTTGCTGCAATCACTGTTCTGCGCATATTTTCAAGCGCGCACTAGCTCGCTGATTATTTCAAAGCTTTTCCATCTAAAGTCCTTCGAGTGGCCCGTGAAACAAGAGATTACGTCTCACATATGTGTTAAAATAAATGATAAAATTGATCAACTGGTTGATTATTCATCAGAAAAAAAAAACTGAAAGACAAAAAGACAAAGTAAAATCAACCGGTATAATAGCCATATTGAAAAACAGCGCGCATAACACACTACAATGAGAAGGAAACGAGAACACAGGACGAGGTGCTGACTATCAACTATCTATTCAGAAGACATACATAAAAATTCACGCGAGGAGCTGCTTCTTCTTTATCCTCTTCCACCAGTCATTCGCCATTAAGCGCGCAACATTATAAAAGATATGAAATTAAAACACACCAGCACATTAAAACACACCAGCACAGGTATAAGTCACCGCGTCTCCTATCTATACCTGTGCTGGTGTGTTTTAATGTGCCGGTCTGTTTTAATTTCGTACTGTTATAAGAAGACACGACGTGTTTATTAAATAGCCACAGGAAAGGGGGGGGGGGTTGTATTTTAAAGCAAGAATACTCACAGTTTTTTGTTTTGCTTTTTTTTCATGGCGATTCAAATATTTTGTTTTATAAAACGGATTAGACAGCTTCGAAGTATGAATCGATGTACAATTCTGAGTGCTGTATTTTTATCGCAAACACCGCTTCAGCTGCACACGTAAGAGAAACGTTTAGGTCGTCATTCGGAACACAATCACGGAGAACATTTTGTACTTGTCGTTTTATTTGTGCCGCATTGACGCCCCCCCCCCCCACACACACACAACTTTTGTGTACTTCTTATAGCAAGATTTCACTTGCCATTTTGTACGAACACTCGTCATGTTCCACACGTTTCTTCACAAACGCAAGTAAATGGTTATGGTAGCAAACATTGACTTGAGTTTGCATGTTGAAGGATAATGCAGTTGGCATTGCGGTGATAAGAGGAAACTTTTTTGGCGATTCTTTAATGTGCCATTCGAGCATCGCTATTCTTCGTTCCCTGTTTCACGTCTAGGTAACGAAATATGTTAAAATTCCCTTGCATTGCCATGTAAAGGGAGTTTTCGAGAAAAGAAGACAGTGTTCTTCAGGCCGGGTAAATAAACTATGCGTTGCAGAAATCTCAAGCATTGTGAGAATGTTACGCTAGCGGTTTGGATAGAACACGAAAATGTGAGAACATGACGCTTCCTAGATCAAAAGATAATTGGAAAAAACTAAATGTATCTTTGAGCCAACGTCCAGCGAAACATATTATCATCAAAACGAGAAAGTACATTGTGGGCACATGTAGCATATATTTCGGTGAGAAGAACCTTGTCAGCCAGAAAGGAAACAATGACCTATTTCTTACCGACACGTGTTTTCCACTGATTTAAACCCCACAAGCGTCCACGCTGTCAAGTCCACTGTCCACACTGTCAAGTCCCACAAGCGTCCGCACAGTCAAATCAAATTTATTTTGTCGCGTTACCAGAAATTTTACTGTCTTTCACGTTTAATACAAGTCTAAACCCTCACCACTGTCCTGTATGCAAATTTCATTTCATGGAATCGCATCCTCTAGCTTGGAGATTTCCACGGATCCCTTAGTTTTTCGCCGGGACTTGGAGAGTCTAATTCAAAGTTGAAACTCTCTAGTACATTTTGTGTTAAGTGCGCCACCTATTTGTAGCCATGGTAATTTGTAGATTTCCTGCTGTGCGCCTTCTGTGTTTCTTCTCTTTATCTTCTGGTTTGCGCCAATGTGAAGACCCGTGTGGTTGGTCATAAGAAATAAACTAAATTATATTACTATATTATTTAATTTTTCTCAATTACCGTTTGATTCAAGTGACGTCATATTCTCAAACTCTTGGGTTCTATTCCAACCACTAGCGTCACCTTCTGACGGCGTTCGAGGTTCCTATGGTGCATAGTTTATTTACCCTGGCCGAAAAACACTGTTCTCTTTTCTCGGGAACTTCCTGTATGTTGTGCTTTGTGTCCTGGGTCGTATCTTTTGCATATTGTCAGCATTAGTTGTATTCTTCTTTATACTCTACTTTCCTGTCTGAACATGCCGAAGTTTATATGCGCTTTGATTTGTGCCTGGTGAGTTTTCTGGGTCCCGATTATTGTGTAATGTCAAGATTAGCTAAATATTCATTTTCAAAACAAAGTATATTTATCCAACCAGCTCAGATTCTTTTTGTTTTTACTTTACCTTTTCATTTTGTATGTATATATAATTATCTAGGATTGTGCAATAAGGTGTTAAGCTGTGCGAGTTTGCACTGGTTGAACATAGTGAGAAAATGGCGCACAAAAAGACGAGGACATGGTCAGGAACGGAACACAGAAGACAGACAAGCGCGAACTCATAGTTAGCGCTTGTCTGTCATCCGTGTTCCGTTCCTGTCCCTGTACTCGTCTTTGTGTGTGCTGTTCTTTTCATTATAGGATTATTATATATGTTTTCCTTATTTATATATACTCATTTATTTTCCGGCCCTCGAGACAGCGGCAGATCCCCGATCTGGCCCCTTTGCCAAAAAATTTGGAGGCCCCTGGACTCTAAGAAAAGCCCGTGCATCTACTGTCCCGTACAACACTCAGAGAGCCAGTCGTCGCAACTTACGGGGGTGGCTCAGCGAATGACGATGCTGAAACATATGTTTAAAAAACTTTAGACCAAAAAACGCAGTGTGAGTTGTGACATGGAGCAATGCAAGCGTGACGTTTTGCATTGCTTAATGTCACAACTCAGACTGCGTTCTTTGGTCTAAACATATGTTTCGGCGTCATCATTCGCTAAGCTTCCTTCGTAACTTGCAGTGATTGGCTCTCCGAGTATTGTGCGGGAAAGTATATGCACGGGATTTTCATAGTGTGTGATTTAAGCATTCGAGAAGGCACGGAAGGCATGTGTACTTCAAAATGGACGATTTTATTTGCCAGGATTCAGTATGCCTGCGACCTCACAACTCGCAGCTAAAGAGCACAATGGGTTTGGAAAAACTGCTGGAAACTGACATGACGGTTCGCATAAAACAAAACGTCAACAGTGATGTTACCAACTATAGTGTGTTGCCAGTTGCACCGTATAATTTGTCGTCGAAGCTCCGCCTGTAGTATATATGGTCGTTGAATTTCATTGCGCTTTTGCTGCGCGTGCTCCGCAAACTTGTCGAAAGTAAAAAGCTCGCACTGGATAAACAACTTCTACTGCAGATCTTATGTTCTAACACACTATACGTTCAAACGTCTCATAGTGCTGAGTGGACAAGGCACAGTATCGACGTTAGCGATTCATATAGTCGCATCTAAGTAATTCAAGGCATCCTTTCAGATCGTGCACATATATTTCGACGAAATATAAAAGAGAAGGTGACAAACTCGGGCTTATCAACGCCACTGACGAATGCACTATCGGGAACAATATGAAAAGGAACAGTTCATTTTTTTTCTTTTCAGTTCCACAGCTCCCACAACATTCGTTAAATAGGGTACGTTGTTGGGCTACTTGGTTCATCTTAGTTTAACATATAAAATAGCGCAAATAAGACAAAAGCCAAGAAGTATACGAGACAAGCGCTAACTTTCAACTAGTTTTACTGAAAACAAAACAAATGTATATATATACACGACAGGCAAAGCAGCACCACATAAAAGTTGATTAATTTTGTACGTGACCATTCAAAAACTGAAATTCATTACTATGAAGTACGATAGAAGTATCACTGACACATGCCGTCCCACTTTTTTTTTGTAAAGAATGCTTCCAATAGCTCTCGAGCGACCGTCTCTCGGCTTCTCCCCAGAATCCTTATCTGCTGAAGTCGCGGAACACAGCCACACGTGTTGCGATGTATAAGCAAATGCGAGCAATATTTATTTTTACTGATAATGCGTGCTGCCGTGCTCTGTCATTGGTGCACCACCCCGTCTGGTCGATGTATACCTTACCACAACTCAGTGGGATTTTGTAGACCACACCCACTGCGCAGTCCACATAAGGGGAGACGTGCTTCTTATCACATGGCACTTTTGCCTTCTCATCAGAAATGCGGGAGCACAGCCCAGCCAACTTCTTTTGGGCAGAGAACACAACGGAAACATCGTACTTGCTTGCAACTTTCTTCAGATTGTAGGCAACCTTATGGATGTGCGGAATAACTTCTGGTCTTTTTGTTCTCTGCCTCGTTGGGACCTTTCTTTTCAAGCCCTTCATTTTTTGTAGGACGGTTTCCGCCACAGAAACTAAGACCGAACACAGGAAGCCAGCAAATCACAGTCTACACATCTGATATTTACAACTAGCATCCACCTGGTGGTCACAAGACTTTAGCAGTGCAGACTCCAGGCACGAAGTTGCAATAGCTCTCTTAACCGTCTTCGAATGAGCTGAATCAATAAGAAGTAACTCTTTTCGCGCTCGAGGTCGATACATACAACACACACGTCGCTCGTTGATGGTGATGTTAATATCTAGAAACTGCAAATGATTGTTGTCAGGGAGCTCATGAGTAAAAAGTAAACCTTTCTTATGTTGTTCAAAAGCTGACAGAATACTTTGTGCTGTATCAAAGTGCGTCATTGAGGTGTTAGTTTCTAAAAACAAATACATGAAAATGGTCCACGTATCTAAAAAACTTAAGGATATTGTCGACATCTAAAACACGGTTCAATTCACGATCAACAGCGGACAAAAAAAAATGTTACAAAGCACAGGAGCGACGCATGACACAATACAAATGCCCTTGCGCTGGATACTTCTTGTATTTGTCTTTTCTGTGCTATTTTATGTGTAACTATATGTTTAACATTCGTTAAACCTCAACTTGTCAAAGGGTACATAGTTCGAGATCCAATCCTTAGTACGTCCTAGCCCTCGTCAGGACCATAAAATGTACCGAAATATGTAAGTACGTCAAAAAAGTGGGTAAGTCTGTTCCCTTTTATGGTGTTACCTATAGTACACAAACCGTTGCCACCAAAGCTGGACGGAAGGGCACGAACTCAGTGATTTCGCCCATCGAATGAACCGTCTTCAGTAATACCAACTCATCGTTGCAGATAACGATTCAGCGTTTCGGAGAATTGCGCTACAAGCATAGACAGGGGAAAGCGGCATCAGGCTGAAATTCCCTGTTTGTCATTCAGAGGCGAACTTGCTGGTTGAGAGGGTGCTACACGCAATCAAAGCAGTCGATTAGCGCACCACAACTACTTCCAAGCAGTGGGATTAAGCTGCAACTCACTCTTCGCTGCTTGTGGAGAGGGCCCGCGGTTGCCCGCTGACCATAGTTTAGGCAGAGAACACGAAGTCATCTTAAGAGAGCAACATATATCCTAAAAAATGCAGATCGACGATAAAAAGAGGTTACGATGCTTTACACCAGATCATGCTCTCAGAAACTCAACCCGGCGACATGGTCCTGGTTCGCAAAAGGTTACACTGCTCCAGCGCTGTATTCTCCGGAAATTAAATGGTTTCAGAACCAACTAAACCACGAGGCAACATAATAAAACCGGAGTCACGGTTTTATTATGTTGCCGGGTCACGGTAAACACCGAAAGATAGCCCACTGTTAGTAATAGTAGTATTGGCATCAATGATGGACCACGGTGTAAATGTGGCTAGCTTGCTATGGCGAGATATAAAAGAATGTTGCTGACCGGGGAGTACAGCCATCTTTGCTTCGTTGCCCATCGCCACCATAACAAGCTTGGAATGAACACAACCTAAAAATAGCAATCTTTTCGTAATTTTTCTCGATTGTACATCGAAAGTTAGCCCACTCCATATTTTCAGCCGATTTGTTCTTGATATTAGGTGGGGTATCTCTCGGGAGTTTACGGTATGTGTCTGAGACGGGGAGAACAAGACGTCGCAAGATTTTTTTTTAGAATAATAACTATTTTAATTCACATAAAAGAGCAGTACAGATTGAGGGTGTGTGGTCAAGAACCGAACAACATTTCTGAAGTTATTGCAATCGAACATATTATTTTAACTATCCTTAAAAAAGCAGAAACAAAAGCCCCGGTGTGTTTAGTCTGTTAAAGAAACGAGGTCATTAAAAAAGACTTAAGACAGACGAACTCCAAGGTCGAGTGTAATAAACACCATTCAGAGAGCCCAGAGTACGATCATTTACATTTTTCCTCTCCACTTGAAAATCTTTCGCCAGTGCGCCACCTTCGGCGTTCACGCGTGTGTCACGTGCTTAGTCAACTTTTCTAAGCGGCAGACTTGCTGGAGATGATTCAGCTGCAAAGTTATCCCACGGCAGTGCTGTACAAGTTGGAACGCACGCACGACAATCTGAAAGTTATAATACTGAACGGGTGTTCGCGCAATAAGATATTCACGGGCCGGGCAGCGTATTAGTACTGAAGCGTCAGACACGTCATGGCGGTATGGGAGAAAAAAAAATGAATGTAATATTTTTATACGACGGTACTAAAACAAATTTGGGGCAGCGGCACTTTGACAGTTTTGACTCAAGCTTATAGGCGAATTAAGCCAAATAAAACGACTGTACACGAATGCTGCATCGGCGCTCTAGCTGGGACTAGTATTCTCACAAACTGACCAAATGTATTAGCCGCACGCTGACACAGCACCCGCGTCGAATCTCTGCAGCGCGAGGGCCTCCGGTTGTAGGAGTCTTGAAATTCCGCCACTACGGCCTCAATACATAGGATGAGTTGAAGAGAACCTCTGGGGTGCATGTGCGTAGCTCGATAAAACATTTTTCTAACCTGAGCACTCGCGCAAACATTTTTCTTTTTATGGTTCGGAATTGGCGCTTGTTTCTTCGTCCACAATTAGTACCATGGATCATAAATGATCGTTCCTTCGACGCAGAGCTGGAACTGCGGGGGCGGGTGGGGTTGGAGCCGCGACCCGACGCGACTGTGATGGCCCTGATCCATGCGCCGGGCACCTTCTCGGGCGGGCTGACCAGGACGCTCATGATGGCGGGCCGCCACAGCTATGTCCTCTACGCCTACCAGGTGGGGCACCCTGCACCACCTCTGAACAACGCCGCTCTGCACCCGAGGCATGTAAACAGGACAAGAGAGAGAGGGGTTGCTTAGGCCGCTCCAAATTAGTTGGTTTAAACGCCTCCCTGAGCACAAGAATACTAATGCTTTCGGTAAAAACTCTCGTAAAATGTTTCAACAGCAAGCGTTAGAAAAGAGTTTGTGATCATACCTAACCACGTGTCTATTTTTTTACTACTCCCAAAATGTGTGTTTTTTTATTTTCTCAGACGTTTCAAAATATAGCGTCACGTGAGGCGTTTCGAAGTATCCGTCCACCGGACTCTTAATTCCTTTCATCTACGTAGGCGATGAATGCATGGCGAAAAAATATAGGAGATTCTATGGCTTTCTGTAACATTGATTTATGACATTTGTGAAGCATATTTTTCAGCTCTGGAGAATGCCCTACGCCGCTTCTTCCCAAATGTCATAAACATAGCCCGGAAGTGGGAGAAGCAAGCAATCTGTCTTTTCCTTGCCTTCAGCTGGCTTTCAATACGACGACTTTCTATAGCTGAACGAGAAGTACTGTGAGTGACCGAAAAATGAGCGGTGGCTCTGTTAATCAGACCTTTTCTGTGCCAGATGAAATGCGCACTCCAATGAAGATGTTGTCGAATGCTCGGCCAAGTTTCGTGCCATGCGATGAATTTGATCGCAACAGTCATTTCAGATGAAGACGAAAGTAGAGTCGATATGGAGGGGGGGGGGGGGGGGGGGCAGGTTTTTGGTGTTACAACACTTCCGTTTTGGGGTAAGAAGAAACAAGGAGGAGGCCACAGTCCGCCATTTACGTCGTTGATCATCAAGCTGAAACGTCAAATTCAAGTTTTTTTGTTTTTTTTCATTTATTGTTTCTTCGCAATTACACAGTTTTCAATATTTGAAATGAGAAAGTGGTGTTTAGGAACTATTTCCAGTCATCGGGGTCAATGAAACTACGTGTTTGCGGTTGTCGTGTAGCAGTATGATTGAACTGATTGGCTTTATTAATTAATCTTTGGGGAACGACAAAGCCATAACTTTGTTGTTGTTTTTTCAGACGGACGTGTTTACGCTGCCACTGCCGTACGAAACAGCGTGTACGGACTACCAGGTGCACCGTAACCCGTGGGTGCAGGCACCCAGGACGCAGGAAGAGGTCAGAGCGAGAACCACATCCTTGTTTTTGGAGGTCGTCGTTGTCCTGCTGGCCTTAGTTGCAAGTGTATCCTCTCAGACTCGGGTACTCGTGGTGTCCACACTTGTACTGCCCACTTAAAGCGGTTTTCTAGTCTAGATCGAGGTTGTCTTACTTCTGGAGGAGTTTTGGTAGTGTCCGGTCTGGGAAGTGGCACTGTACTTCGTCCTGCCAAGTATTTTAATTCACAGAGGAATCACATGCCGTATACCGGTTTGCAAAAAAGGCTCCCGCGCGCTGCCATTTTGAATGACTCGGGTACTCGTGGTGTCCACACTTGTACTGCCCACTTAAAGCGGTTTTCTAGTCTAGATCGAGGTTGTCTTACTTCTGGAGGAGTTTTGGTAGTGTCCGGTCTGGGAAGTGGCACTGTACTTCGTCCTGCCAAGTATTTTAATTCACAGAGGAATCACATGCCGTATACAGGTTTGCAAAAAAGGCTCCCGCGCGCTGCCATTTTGAATGACTCGGGTACTCGTGGTGTCCACACTTGTACTGCCCACTTAAAGCGGTTTTCTAGTCTAGATCGAGGTTGTCTTACTTCTGGAGGAGTTTTGGTAGTGTCCGGTCTGGGAAGTGGCACTGTACTTCGTCCTGCCAAGTATTTTAATTCACAGAGGAATCACATGCCGTATACAGATTTGCAAAAAAGGCTCCCGCGCGCTGCCATTTTGAATGACTCGGGTACTCGTGGTGTCCACACTTGTACTGCCCACTTAAAGCGGTTTTCTAGTCTAGATCGAGGTTGTCTTACTTCTGGAGGAGTTTTGGTAGTGTCCGGTCTGGGAAGTGGCACTGTACTTCGTCCTGCCAAGTATTTTAATTCACAGAGGAATCACATGCCGTATACCGGCTTGCAAAAAAGGCTCCCGCGCGCTGCCATTTTGAATGACTCGGGTACTCGTGGTGTCCACACTTGTACTGCCCACTTAAAGCGGTTTTCCAGTCTAGATCGAGGTTGTCTTACTTCTGGAGGAGTTTTGGTAGTGTCCGGTCTGGGAAGTGGCACTGTACTTCGTCCTGCCAAGTATTTTAATTCACAGAGGAATCACATGCCGTATACAGGTTTGCAAAAAAGGCTCCCGCGCGCTGCCATTTTGAATGACTCGGGTACTCGTGGTGTCCACACTTGTACTGCCCACTTAAAGCGGTTTTCCAGTCTAGATCGAGGTTGTCTTACTTCTGGAGGAGTTTTGGTAGTGTCCGGTCTGGGAAGTGGCACTGTACTTCGTCCTGCCAAGTATTTTAATTCACAGAGGAATCACGTGCCGTATACAGTTTGCAAAAAAGGCTCCCGCGCGCTGCCATTTTGAATGACTCGGGTACTCGTGGTGTCCACACTTGTACTGCCCACTTAAAGCGGTTTTCCAGTCTAGATCGAGGTTGTCTTACTTCTGGAGGAGTTTTGGTAGTGTCCGGTCTGGGAAGTGGCACTGTACTTCGTCCTGCCAAGTATTTTAATTCACAGAGGAATCACATGCCGTATACAGGTTTGCAAAAAAGGCTCCTGCGCGCTGCCATTTTGAATGACTCGGGTACTCGTGGTGTCCACACTTGTACTGCCCACTTAAAGCGGTTTTCTAGTCTAGATCGAGGTTGTCTTACTTCTGGAGGAGTTTTGGTAGTGTCCGGTCTGGGAAGTGGCACTGTACTTCGTCCTGCCAAGTATTTTAATTCACAGAGGAATCACGTGCCGTATACAGGTTTGCAAAAAAGGCTCCTGCGCGCTGCCATCTTGAATGACTCGGGTACTCGTGGTGTCCACACTTGTACTGCCCACTTAAAGCGGTTTTCCAGTCTAGATCGAGGTTGTCTTACTTCTGGAGGAGTTTTGGTAGTGTCCGGTCTGGGAAGTGGCCCTGTACTTCGTCCTGCCAAGTATTTTAATTCACAGAGGAATCACATGCCGTATACAGGTTTGCAAAAAAGGCTCCCGCGCGCTGCCATTTTGAATGACTCGGGTACTCGTGGTGTCCACACTTGTACTGCCCACTTAAAGCGGTTTTCTAGTCTAGATCGAGGTTGTCTTACTTCTGGAGGAGTTTTGGTAGTGTCCGGTCTGGGAAGTGGCACTGTACTTCGTCCTGCCAAGTATTTTAATTCACAGAGGAATCACATGCCGTATACAGGTTTGCAAAAAAGGCTCCCGCGCGCTGCTATTTTGAATGACTCGGGTACTCGTGGTGTCCACACTTGTACTGCCCACTTAAAGCGGTTTTCTAGTCTAGATCGAGGTTGTCTTACTTCTGGAGGAGTTTTGGTAGTGTCCGGTCTGGGAAGTGGCACTGTACTTCGTCCTGCCAAGTATTTTAATTCACAGAGGAATCACATGCCGTATACAGCTTTGCAAAAAAGGCTCCCGCGCGCTGCCATTTTGAATGACTCGGGTACTCGTGGTGTCCACACTTGTACTGCCCACTTAAAGCGGTTTTCTAGTCTAGATCGAGGTTGTCTTACTTCTGGAGGAGTTTTGGTAGTGTCCGGTCTGGGAAGTGGCACTGTACTTCGTCCTGCCGGGTATTTTAATTCACAGAGGAATCACATGCCGTATACCGGCTTGCAAAAAAGGCTCCCGCGCGCTGCCATTTTGAATGACTCGGGTACTCGTGGTGTCCACACTTGAACTGCCCACTTAAAGCGGTTTTCCAGTCTATATCGAGGTTGTCTTACTTCTGGAGGAGTTTTGGTAGTGTCCGGTCTGGGAAGTGGCACTGTACTTCGTCCTGCCAAGTATTTTAATTCACAGAGGAATCACATGCCGTATACAGGTTTGCAAAAAAGGCTCCTGCGCGCTGCCATTTTGAATGACTCGGGTACTCGTGGTGTCCACACTTGTACTGCCCACTTAAAGCGGTTTTCCAGTCTAGATCGAGGTTGTCTTACTTCTGGAGGAGTTTTGGTAGTGTCCGGTCTGGGAAGTGGCACTGTACTTCGTCCTGCCAAGTATTTTAATTCACAGAGGAATCACGTGTCGTATACAGGTTTGCAAAAAAGGCTCCTGCGCGCTGCCATTTTGAATGACTCGGGTACTCGTGGTGTCCACACTTGTACTGCCCACTTAAAGCGGTTTTCCAGTCTAGATCGAGGTTGTCTTACTTCTGGAGGAGTTTTGGTAGTGTCCGGTCTGGGAAGTGGCACTGTACTTCGTCCTGCCAAGTATTTTAATTCACAGAGGAATCACATGCCGTATACAGGTTTGCAAAAAAGGCTCCTGCGCGCTGCCATTTTGAATGACTCGGGTACTCGTGGTGTCCACACTTGTACTGCCCACTTAAAGCGGTTTTCTAGTCTAGATCGAGGTTGTCTTACTTCTGGAGGAGTTTTGGTAGTGTCCGGTCTGGGAAGTGGCACTGTACTTCGTCCTGCCAAGTATTTTAATTCACAGAGGAATCACATGCCGTATACAGGTTTGCAAAAAAGGCTCCTGCGCGCTGCCATTTTGAATGACTCGGGTACTCGTGGTGTCCACACTTGTACTGCCCACTTAAAGCGGTTTTCTAGTCTAGATCGAGGTTGTCTTACTTCTGGAGGAGTTTTGGTAGTGTCCGGTCTGGGAAGTGGCACTGTACTTCGTCCTGCCAAGTATTTTAATTCACAGAGGAATCACATGCCGTATACAGGTTTGCAAAAAAGGCTCCTGCGCGCTGCCATTTTGAATGACTCGGGTACTCGTGGTGTCCACACTTGTACTGCCCACTTAAAGCGGTTTTCTAGTCTAGATCGAGGTTGTCTTACTTCTGGAGGAGTTTTGGTAGTGTCCGGTCTGGGAAGTGGCACTGTACTTCGTCCTGCCAAGTATTTTAATTCACAGAGGAATCACATGCCGTATACCGGTTTGCAAAAAAGGCTCCCGCGCGCTGCCATTTTGAATGACTCGGGTACTCGTGGTGTCCACACTTGTACTGCCCACTTAAAGCGGTTTTCCAGTCTAGATCGAGGTTGTCTTACTTCTGGAGGAGTTTTGGTAGTGTCCGGTCTGGGAAGTGGCACTGTACTTCGTCCTGCCAAGTATTTTAATTCACAGAGGAATCACATGCCGTATACAGGTTTGCAAAAAAGGCTCCCGCGCGCTGCCATTTTGAATGACTCGGGTACTCGTGGTGTCCACACTTGTACTGCCCACTTAAAGCGGTTTTCTAGTCTAGATCGAGGTTGTCTTACTTCTGGAGGAGTTTTGGTAGTGTCCGGTCTGGGAAGTGGCACTGTACTTCGTCCTGCCAAGTATTTTAATTCACAGAGGAATCACATGCCGTATACCGGTTTGCAAAAAAGGCTCCCGCGCGCTGCCATTTTGAATGACTCGGGTACTCGTGGTGTCCACACTTGTACTGCCCACTTAAAGCGGTTTTCTAGTCTAGATCGAGGTTGTCTTACTTCTGGAGGAGTTTTGGTAGTGTCCGGTCTGGGAAGTGGCACTGTACTTCGTCCTGCCAAGTATTTTAATTCACAGAGGAATCACATGCCGTATACAGGTTTGCAAAAAAGGCTCCCGCGCGCTGCCATTTTGAATGACTCGGGTACTCGTGGTGTCCACACTTGTACTGCCCACTTAAAGCGGTTTTCTAGTCTAGATCGAGGTTGTCTTACTTCTGGAGGAGTTTTGGTAGTGTCCGGTCTGGGAAGTGGCACTGTACTTCGTCCTGCCAAGTATTTTAATTCACAGAGGAATCACATGCCGTATACCGGTTTGCAAAAAAGGCTCCCGCGCGCTGCCATTTTGAATGACTCGGGTACTCGTGGTGTCCACACTTGTACTGCCCACTTAAAGCGGTTTTCCAGTCTAGATCGAGGTTGTCTTACTTCTGGAGGAGTTTTGGTAGTGTCCGGTCTGGGAAGTGGCACTGTACTTCGTCCTGCCAAGTATTTTAATTCACAGAGGAATCACATGCCGTATACAGGTTTGCAAAAAAGGCTCCCGCGCGCTGCCATTTTGAATGACTCGGGTACTCGTGGTGTCCACACTTGTACTGCCCACTTAAAGCGGTTTTCTAGTCTAGATCGAGGTTGTCTTACTTCTGGAGGAGTTTTGGTAGTGTCCGGTCTGGGAAGTGGCACTGTACTTCGTCCTGCCAAGTATTTTA